TCATCATCATCATCATCATCATCATCATCATCATCACCATCATCGTCATCATCATCATCAGCATCAGCATCAGCATCAGCATCAGCATCATCATCATCATCATCATCATCATCATCATCATCCTCATCCTCATCCTCATCCTCCTCCTCCTCCTCCTCCTCATCATCATCATCATCATCATCATCATCATCCTCATCCTCATCCTCATCCTCATTAACCTCTGCCTCATCATCCTCATCCTCATCTTCAACCTCATCCTCATCCTTATCCTTTCCCTCTTCTACATCCCTGTTCAATGTCCGCCCTGCCCTCCTCCTCATCGCAGCCGAGCAGGACCCGGCGCCGTACAAGACGGTGCGGATGCCGAGCTTCTGCGCGCGGAGCGCGCTGCGGAGCAGGGCCCGCGCCCCGGCTCGGAGCGCCCTGTCCTCCCTGCCCGCTGCTGTCCCCCTCCTCAGCCTCCCCCCCTCCTTCGCCTTTCGGACGAGGACGAATCCCTCCTCGGCCTCCTCCCCTCCTCGCCCTTCGGCCTCCTCCCCCTCTCTTCCCCTCTACCGCCTCCTCGGGCTCCTCCCCTCCTCGGCCTCCTCTCGGACGCGGATGAATCCGTTCCAGAGCTTTCCGCAACGCTCTCGGAGCGTTCTGGAACGCTCTGAGAAGGTCGCAGCGCCCGAGACATCCTCCAGAATTGCCAGATCTCAGAGATTCTCGATGTATCCTCGCCCGAGTTTATTCGCGTCCTGGCTTCGTCTTAGCCTCCTCAGCCAGGACGGGCAGGCGGGCGGATGCGTGCTGGGATGAGCTTGGGTCTCCCAGCATATTTTTCGTTGTTTTGTTGCACAATTACCAGGCATCCTGTGTTGCGATCTACAATGGGAACCCATGCCAATAAGCACCCTGCTTGCCTCCAGGGTGCCCTGGGTTTCTTGGGTTTCGATGGTTTTGTCATGGAAAGCGTGACGTTACCACACCAAAATCAGTGGACGTCCTGGGATCTCAGGGTTGGGTCTCTTGCGGAAGGTTTCTCGTGGTCGAGCTCCTACTGTAGGCTGACGATGAACCTCCATGAGCCCTTGAGTCCTTGCGTCCTCCCTCCGCCCCTCCCTCCCCTGCCTCCGAGGAGGGCGGGCCGAGACACAAGCAGGTCCCCTCCCAGCCCAGAGTTCTCCTCGTGCGGGCTCCGAGGGGGCCCCGATCGCGAGACCGACTGCGATCCCGACGGAGGCCAGCCAAAAAAGGTCGGCGTCGGGCCACTGGCGAAGAGGAGGAGGAGGAGGAGGAGGAGGAGGAAGAGGATGATAATGATGATGATGATGATGATGATGATGATGATGATGATGATGATGATGATGATGATGATGATGATGATGATGATGATGATGATGAGATGATGTGATGCTGATGCTGATGCTGATGCTGATGCTGATGCTGATGATGATGAGGAGGAGGAGGGGAGGAGAGGGAGGAGGAGGGAGGAGATGAGGATGAGGATGAGGATGAGGATGAGATGAGGATGAGGATGAGGATGAGAGATGAATGAGGATGAGGATGAGGGTGAGGATGAGGAGGAGGAGAGGAGGAGGAGGATGAGGATGAGGATGAGGAGGATGAGATGAGGATGAGGATGATGATGATGATGCTGATGATGATGATGCTGCTGATGATGATGATGATGATGATGATGATGATGATGATGATGATGATGATGATGATGATGATGATGATGATGATGATGATGATGATGATGATATGATGACGTGGAGGAGGAGGAGGAGGAGGAGGAGGAGGAGGAGGAGGAGGAGGAGGAGGAGGTGAAAGGAGGAGGAGAAAAAGGAGGAGGAGGAGGAGGAGGAGGAGGAGCAGGAGCAGGAGGAGGAGGAGGAGGAAGAGGAGGAGGAACACCGCCCCTGGGCTGCCCGATCGCGAGCCCGGTGGCGTGCCCAGCGAGGGCCGGCCCGCCGGAGGGCTCAAAGCGAGCGGCGTCAGGCCATCGGCGACAGCGCCGCCCTCGGGATGCCCTCCAAGCCTGCGCTGCAGGTCATCGAGGACAAAGTACCCCCTAACCCCAAAAAGTTTCTCCGAAGGGCTTCGGCGACCCGTCCTCCTCATCCTCCTCCTCCTCCTCCTCCCTCCTCCTCCTCCTCCTCCTCCTCATCTCCTCCTCCTCCTCCTCCTCCTCCTCTTCCTCCTCCTCCTCTTCCTCCACCTCCTCCTCCTCCATCTCCTCCTCCCCCTCCTCCTCCTCTCTCCTTCTCCTTCTCCTTCTCCTCTCTCCTCCTCCTCCTCCTCCTCCTCCTCCTCCTCCTCCTCCTCCTCCTCCTCCTCCTCCTCCTCCTCCTCCTCCTCCTCCCCGGGTCGCCTACGGCCCTGGGGGAAACCGTGCAGGACCAAGTACCCCCTAACCCTGATAGTATCATGAAGACGTGGCCTCACTGAGGTCCCCCTTTTTGCATTAGGGCTCAGGGATATGGGCGGTTTGGTTCGATACATTTGCAGACAACCTCTATCTCTAATGTTCGGCCTTGGGTAGGGAGAGGGGGGAAGGCTTAGAAGCACGCCTGCTTCTTAGAAGGCGCGGGCCTTCTCTATAGATGTGAGGCCGGCGCCTTCTAAGAAGCAGGCTCCTGCTAAGAAGCCTTCCCCCCCGCCGCCCCAATTGTCCTGGCCCTCCTAGATTAGGTCGCCTCCCGAAGGGTTAGGGGTCCTTGTATGCTTAACCAGCAGGTGTCCGAGTTCGGCTCCCTTGCCGTGTGCGCTGGTCGGGAGATGCCCGGGCGGCTGCGCCCGTCCGTGGGCGCCGGCGGCGCGACTTTTACCGTGAAGAAGCCCTTCGCGGTGCTGTGGGGGGAGGAAGAGATGCCCCAGACCCCCCGTCGCGTTGTGAACAAGTCACGACGGGAGGTGTTTTGCTATGTTCGGCCTCCCTGGGGGCCTGACCGGGCCCCAGGACCGTCAAAGAACGACTCGTGATGCAAATCGAGTCCCAGGGTTAAGTCGGGCGTGTCCCTCTACAGGAGGAAAATTCAAAAATAGTCAAAGAATAGTCTGGGGACGATTTTTTGATGTTTTTTTTGTTGTTGCCATTTTGGGGTATTGTTTGACTTTTTAAAAAATGTCCGTTCAAAATCCCCGGAGGACAGGCCCGACTCAATCCCAGGGAAGGGGTCCAGACCTCTGGGGGTCGACGCTGCGAAGACATCACAACGTTGGGGGTCTGGGGGGCCGATGCCGCTGCCCGTCCCTCGTCGCCACGGCTGGACTCGCTTCGAAATCCTGGTCAGAACTGATGGGCGTGTTTTCCACCACCACCATAAGTTGGAGGGGGGAGGGGTCCTCCTCCTCTTCCTCCTCCTCGTCCTCCTCCTCCTCCTCCTCCTCCTCCTCCTCCTCCTCCTCCTCCTCCCCCTCTTCGTCCTCATCCTCCTCTTCCTCCTCCTTGCCCTCCTCCTCCTCCTCCTCCTCCTCCTTCCCGCTCCAACTTATGGTGGCGGTGGTGGAAAACAGGCTCATCAAGAACGCACTTCAGGAGCGGCATCTGTATGTCTGTTTGATGCCCCAGGTATGTCTCTGGCACACGGACATCGACGAGCTCAATGTCCCACTGGTCGCTGAGTTTGTGGCTTAGCCACGGGGCGCGTTTTGTGCTATCCTTGCTGCTGCATTGCCTTGCCTGCATGCGTCGGACGCCATGGCCGCGAGGCGGAAAAGAGAAGGCAGTGGCCACGCCCGCTTCGTCCTTGTCGTCCTTTCCCTCATTATGCTGCTCTTCGCGGAGGGAAAACATATCTGTATCCGTGGCCTCGCGGGCCAGTCCCTTGGGCCGCGACCCCGCGGATACCGGGCGCTCTTTCGCGGATGCCCCGCGCGGAACGTATCCGTGCGAGCACGTATCCGCGGGATCGCGCCCCAGAGTCCAGACCGCGAAGGGCGTGGACATGGATGTCATCCGCCGTGTCTTTGAAGGATGTCCGAGTATCGAAGTGTCCGCTGCATCATGATTTTGTGATGGCATTCAGACCAACATCTCGCTCTGCAGGTGCTCGATGAGTTGCTCGAACAAGTGTCAAAGCTGCTTCACAAGGAGCAGGCTAATGAAAACGCTGCTGAAGAGGGACATCAATAAGCTGGCCTCTCGTGAGATGCCCTCCTCGTCCTCGTCCCTGCCCGCATCCTGCTGAGCCTCGTGTGCTACTGGTCCTCCCGCTCCCGCCCTGCCTCTGCTCCTGGCCCCTGGCCGCCACAGCATCACCGCCCTCTTTTCAAAATAAGCGTCCGTAGAGCATGAAAAGATGGACGTGAACCAGCGCGGGCCCCAAACAGTGTGTTCCCAGCAGTTTCTCTTGTGCAGTCTAGGTGTAGCAACATGTATGGTGCAGTCTGCGTGGCGAGATACAGTTGTGCAGTATATAGTGTGCAACGTACGGTGTGCAATCTATGTTGTGCAATTTTAGTGGAGCAACCACTGCGCTCTGCGATGCGGGCGCGGCCCATAAGAAGCCATATAGCAACGGAGAGTTGTCAACCTATGTCCAACATGGGCAGTCGGGTTTTTTGGTGAGGGGTCGACTACCACGCAACCAGGAGATCCGACGTTGCGAGAAAAATGCAGCATCGTGAAGCATCACAACAGGAACCCTAGATCCCATCTTTCCGAGGCATCTTTGTCTATGGTGTTCCTGGGGCCCGAAGCCGGGCGAAACAATGCGGCAAAGAGGGTGGTAATGGCTGGGGGGGGAGATCCTGACGGGGGGGCCATGATCTCCCCAGACCTCACGCCGCCTCGTCTCGTTTCCATGCGTCCCCTCCCCCAAAGGGCCGCGCACGTGCCGCCGACCACGATGTGCGCCCCCCCCCCCCCCCCCCTTGGACGCCCCCCTGTTGGCCGCCCCCGGTGCAAACAAGGATGCGCCGCCTGGACTTCGGGGGCTGCAGGGGCGCTCCGCCTAGGGCTCCCCTCTCGGGGCCCCTCCCCTCCCTCGCCGATCCCCGCGCGCGGCGGGCTCGAGTTCCGTGTTGGCGAACCCGCCCCCCTCTAGCTGCGTCCCGCGCGGCCCCGTCCGCCAGGGGGCCTCGGCGAAGGAGCGCTCCTCTCGCCCTCCTCCCTCCTCCTCCCTCGTCCTCCCTCCTCCTCCCTAATTCACCATCCTCCCTCTCTTCCTCCCTCTGTCCCTCCGTCCCTCCTCCTCCTCCTCCTCCTCCTCCTCCTCCTCCTCCTCCTCCTCCTCCTCCCTCCCCCTCCTCCTCCCTCCCTCCCGTCTCTCCCTCCCTCCACCCTTCCCCCACGTCGGGCAGGCGCTGTTTTGTGTCAGCCGGGATCTCCGTGCCTGGCTTGACAGCTTGAGGCTCTCCTGCGTTGCTGATGAGGTGCAGATAGAGAGCGGGAGGGGATGTGAGGACGAAAGGTTGCGAGGGAAGGGGGTGGGCCCTGCTGACCGCTGCCTAGGCCCAGCAGGGGCTTCCAGGTGCTCCGGAAAGCCCGGGGGACCACCTGCAGGGGCGTCCAGGGGGCCCCCGGGACCATGGATTCGGTTCGTCTTTTTTGGGGGGGGGCACGGCTTTTGCTTTTTTCTGGGTTGCAAACATATGGGAAGAGGAATAGATGTATAGATCTCCAGCTGCCTGCGGCAAGCCCCGCCACCGTGCCAGCCCAGCATTCTGGGTGGCGACTGCTCGAGGGGGCACGGGAGGACGTCATGTGTGATACTTCGTTCTAGGCTTTGATATGAGGATGATCTGGATGAGGATGAGGATGCGGATGAGGATGCGGATGAGGGTGAGGATGGCGAGGATGTCGAGGATGACGATGATGACGATGACGATGATGATGATAATGATGATGATGATGATGATGATGATGATGATGATGATGATGATGATGATGATGATGATGATGACGATGACGATGACGACGACGACGATAACGACGACGACGAGGATGATGATGATGATGATGATGGTGATGGTGGTGATGGTGGTGCTGGTGGTACTGGTGGTGGTGATGATGATGATGCTGATGACGATGACGACGGTGATGGCGACAGTGATGGTGCTGGTGCTGTGATTGTGATGATGATGATGATGATGATGATGATGATGGTGATGATGATAATGATGATCATGATGGTGATGATGATGATGATGATGATGATGATGATGGTGATCCTGATGATTATGGTGGTCGTGGTAGTGATGGAGGTGATGATGATGATGATGGTAATGATGATGATGATGATGATGATGATGATGATGCTGATGCTGATGCTGATGCTGATGCTGATGCTGATGCTGATGCTGATGCTGATGTGATGATGGTTATGATTATGATGATGCTGATGATGAAGATGAAGTGGAGGATGAGGATGATTCTGACGATGTTGATGCTGCTGCGGCCTCTGCTGCCGGTGTCGATGTTTTTGTTGTTGCCGCTGATGCTGATGTTAACGGTTGTGGTGGCGTTGATGATGGTCTGGATGTGGATGATGATGATGATGATGATGATAATGATGATGATGATGCTTACGATAATGATAGTGATGATGATGCTGATGATGATGATGATGCTGATGGTGATGATCATAATGACGCTGGTGGTGGTGATGATAATGGTGGTGATGATGATGTTGTTGCTGCTGATGCTGATGATGATGCTGCTGCTGATGATTATGCTGCTGGTGATGATGATGATGATGATGATGATGATGATGATGATGATGATGATGATGGTGGTGATGGTGACGACGAGGAGGACGAGGAGGAGGTGGAAGAAGAAAAAGAAGAAGAATAAGGCCGTCAGGTGTGACACTCTTAATCTTCACTGTGTGATGAGCTCTCATGGAACTCGTTCGGGCCGTCTTTGGGCTATCTTGGCCTTCTATGAGGCAGTCTTGCGGGTCCCTTGGGGCCTCTTGAGTCGTCTTGGGGCCCTTTTAGGACGTCTTGGGGCTCTCTTGGGCCGTCTTCGGGTTCTCTTGGCCGTATGGTGGTTGTTTGGGGGCCGTCGGGGGGCCGTCTTGGCACCGTCTTGGGCAGTCGACGGGCCTGATGATGCCGTCTTGGGTCCTGCGGGGGGCTCTCTTGGGCCGTCTTGGATACCTCTTGGGCCCTCGTGGCGTCCTCTTGGGCAATCTTGAGACCCTCGTGGGGGCCTCTTGGGCCGTCTTGGGGCCATCGTGAAGGCTTCTTTGGCCGTCTTGAGCTGACGGAAGCCCGAAAAGGCGAGGATGCGAAACTCATTCAACAACCGACGGGAAACATTGAACTTGGCTTCTTCGGACCCTGTTGGAGGGTATGTTCAAAATATGGTTCTCGCCTAAGCCCCGCGCACTATCGTTTTGATATTTAACAGCAGTTTAACATATTCTGATGGTTGACGTCCCAGGAATGAAGTTCAGGTACTAATCAGGACTCAGTGCGCAACAGTCACGTTGATTCGCGATGTCGAAGTCCCAGGGAAGTTGTTCCGGCAAGACGCAGGACCGTCAGGACGCAACCGCAAAACTGATTCACGGCTTTGAAGTGCAAGGTGTGGTGTTTTGGCACGACTGTGGATTCTCAAGCGGTTGTCTTCCAACGGGGCACTTCCAGCAGTAGAAATAATGCCTTATCCTTGTAGGTAGGGGCCCATGAAGAGTGAGCTCAGAGGGACGCTTTATTGCAACATTGTTGAGGCGCCTTGGGTTTACACTGGTCCTCCTTCTCCTCCTCCTGCTTCCGCCTCTCCCCCTTGCCCTCTAATTAGGTCGCACCTCTCGCTGGTCGTTGCACTCCTCCTCCTCCTCCTCCTCCTCCTCCCCCTCCTCCTCCTCCTCCTCCTCTTCCTCACGATCGCTCCCATCCCGTCAGCTGTGGTCGGTGGCCGATGGCTGGGCAGAAGGCCCCCCCCCTTCTCGACCCCGGCCAGGCAGCCATGGCGGAGCCCCTGCCGCCCGAGAAGCAGGTGCGGTTCCTGCCGCAGGCCTCCCGGCCTGCAGCCGGCCGCCCGCTGGGGGCCAGGGCGGGCCCTCTTCCTCGGGGAGCGCGCTCGGCCACAGGGCGAGCCCACGAGGAGGAGGAGGGAGGGGGGAGGAGGAGGAGGAGGAGGAGGACGAGGAGGAGGAGGAGGAGGAGGAGGAGGAAAAGGAGGAGGAGCAGGAAGAGTAGGAGGAGCAGGAGCAGGAGCAGGAGCAGGAGCAGGAGCAGGAGCAGGAGGAGGAGGAGGAGGAGGAGGAGGAGGAGGAGGGAGGAGGGTGGAGGGAGGAAGGAGGGAGTAGAGGTGAAAGGACCCGTGGGGGGCGGGAGGGCCCGCTCCCGCGCGACGCCAGGCCGCGGAAAATTCAGCGCACGATGCATCGCGGCACCTCTTGCGCTGGCCACCTATAGTCGCATTGCAGATTAAGGATGAGCACTTTTCCAAGGGTACCCTTGCATCCTTGCCCCTCGGCCCATCCTTGGCCGCTTTCGCTGGCCGCGCCCCGCCCACAAAGGGTCGACATGGCCTTCCAGGGCCCTTGCACCTGTATCGCGCATCCTTATGATACTGGTTGACTGTACTCTGGATGCACGTCTGGATGCAGCTGCTCGATGCCAGTGTCCCCAATCTCATTGTCCTGTTGTTGCACCACCTTCCACCTGTGACGGAGGCCACGCGCCCGGTTAGTGGTGCTCTTGCGCTCCAGCACGCCACGACCCACTCTCCAGGGAGTCAGGGGGGGGTCCTCCTCCTCCTCCTCCTCCTCCTCCTCCTCCTCCTCCTCCTCCTCCTCCTTCTCCTCCTCCTCCAGGAAGGGGGGGAGGATGGGAGAGTTTGAGCTGACACAACCTCAGCGCCTGCGTGAAGGCCGGCTTGGAGAGGAGCGGGCCCGCGGCAGGGCTCTCTGCTGCGAGCCGCCCAGCTCGCCGGCAGATGCTCGCAGGCCTGCAAGCTCTGGCCGGAGAGCCGGGCTCGGCCTGGAAAGGCAGCACGCAGAGGGTGCTCTCGCCCCGGGGGGGGGGCAATCAAGCAGTGGCGACGCGTCCTGGCTCGCCTATAGGCCCACCAAAGAATGTTCTAAGAACCTTTTGTGGTTTGCACGGAATGTGGGAACATTTCTGGCTAGGTCTGTTTTGTTTCATTGTATCGGGCTGATGCTCTAAGAACAATTGTTTCTACGATACGAACGCGCTTGGGTTCTACGACAGTTTCGTGGTATGCCCATAGGAATGCCAGGACAGTCGGTCCCTGCTCAAATGAAGGAGGGTTCGTAGGATTAGGTTGGTTTCGCTAGACCAGAGAGCCCCCCCCTAATTAGCCCGACCTGAGGCCACCCTTGCTCGACCTGAGGCGCCTCAGCAGCCGTCGAGATATTACCCCATGTTTAGAGCTTGGCCTCCTCTCACCCTTCCCGACCCGGCCACTGGTCTTTTGTGCGGCCCGTTGGGCTTTAGTGCGGCCCGTTGGGTTTTTGTGCTGCCTGGCGCGCGGCCGGGTGGGTCTTGCTGCGGCCCGCGCTGACCCTTCAATTAAAAGTAATATGTAAAGGTTTCCTTTCTTAGCTCCAGAAATCCTGGCAACCCTTTAATTGTGTTCCCGCCCAGGAAAGGTGGCCGCACAAATGACCATCTGGAGGCGCGTTGGACGCAATCTAGTAGTAGTAGTAGTAGTTGTGCCAATCTTCAATGTAACACTTACGAAGCAAGTTTTGAAGCAACGTGATAAGCCAAACTGCATATCCGAGGGTGTGTGTCTCTGTGCAGCGCTGGAAAAAACGGTTAGAAAAACAAGCTCGAAACAATCGTCCTCCTGAGCATCACGATCATCATCAGATTCATCTTCATCCTCCCTGTCATGATCATTCTCCCCTCGTCTTGCACTTGACAACATCGCATGCGTAATCTCCCTTCATCCTTCTTCCTTGTCGTCATCACCCTGGCCCCAATGTTCCTTCTCCTGGCTCCTCACTCCTACCTTTTCCCGCTCCTCATCCTCATCCTCCTCGTTGTGCACTGTTCCTCCTGTCCCTCCGCACTATGCTCCTCCCGCATGCTCCTGCTGCCTCCCTTCCTGCTAGCACCTTCTGCTGCCTACCTCTATGTCGGCTCCTCCTGCTGCATGATCCTTCTGCCTCATCCTCCTCCTCCTCCGTCAGCAGAATGTCCTCCTGCTGATGCGCATGGGTCGGCCGGTTTGCAAGTCGCGTGGCCGCTCGAGGAGGAGGAGAGGACAACGAAGAGGAGGACCAGCAGCAGCAGGAGGGAGAGGGAATGGGAGGAGGGAGGTGAGAGGGAGAAGGGGGAGGGGAGGAGTATCATTATCATGATGAGCATCATGATCATCACATGGTCATGGTCATCATGATCAGCATGGTCATCATCACCATCAGCACCGACATGGTCATCATGACCATCCTCATCATCAGCATCATCACTTTCATCATCATATTCATCATCATAATCATCACCATCCGCATCGTCATCATCATCGTCACCATCATCGTCATCATCATCATCATCATCAGCATCATCATCATCATCATCATCATCATCATCGTCATCGTTATCGTCATCGTTATCGTCATCGTTATCGTCCTCACCGCCGTTGTCGTCATCATAGCCACCACCATCTTCTTCAACATTACCGTCCTCCTCGTCGTCATCGCCTCCCTTCCTGCCGGGGTCCTTCTCCTCCCATCTCCCATGCTGGCTCTTTCTGCTGCATGCTCCTTCTGCTTCCTCGCTCGCCTCCTCCACTTCATGCACCACCATCAGCTCCTTCTGCCTCCTCCTGCTCCCCATCCTCCTGCCTCCTACTAAGTTGCATCCTCCTCGACGTCGTCCTTGCCCTCGTCTTCGCCCTCAGCCCTATCCTCAACCCCAATCCTCCTCTTCTTCCTCCTTCCCTGCCTGATCATCGTCGGCATCATCATCATCATCATCATCATCATCATCATCATCATCATCATCATCATCATCATCATCATCATCATCATCATCATCATCATCATCATCTTCATCTTCATCTTCATCTTCATCTTCATCTTCATCTTCATCAACATCATCATCGTCGTCATCGTCATCATCATCACCATCATCATCAGCAGCAAACTCCTCATCATCATCAGCATCATCATCATCAACATCATCATCATCAACATCATCATCATCATTCTCATCATCACCATCAGCATCATCATCGTCAGCAGCATCATCATCTTTACCATCATGGGAGAAGTGCGGAGGGGTGTGAAGGAATGGGAGGGGTCTGGTAGACGGCCTGCGGAGGGGTGCGGAGGAATGGGAAGGGTCTGGAGGCTCTGGGAGGGCTGTGCAGGGGTCGTGGAGGAATGGGAGGGTTTGCGGAGGCTCTGGGCGGAGCGCGGAAGCTGTGGAAGAAAATGCGAGGTCTGGGAAGATCTGGGGAGCTGCGGAGGGGCGCGGAGGCACGGGAGGGCTCCGGAAGTTTTGACAGGCGTGCGGAGGCTGTGGGAGGAGCGGGAGGGGCCCGGAGGTTTCGGCAGGAGTGTGGGCGAGGTGTGCCCGGGTGATGGAGGGGGCGTGGAGGGGTCCGGGGGTCTTCGGGGGACTGAGAGGGCTGCGGAAGTGTTCGGTGGAAGGCGGAGAGGTGTGGAGAAGTGGGAGGGGTCCCAAGGAGGTTTCGGGCGGAGTGCGGAGATTCTTGGAGCAGTATGGACGTCTCTTGCTGCGTTCTGTGTCCTCTGATTCAGGATCGGCACAATGAAATAACCGAATACCCATCACCGCACATTGACCGAAGATCCCACATCTGTTCTCCTTCCTCCTCCCTTCCTCCTCCCTTCAATGTTCCCCGCGTTGTTGTTCTTCTTCTCCTCTCCTCTTTCTTCGTTTCTTTCTTCAGAGAACCTTCAGCGGCCCGAAGAGGCTCTTCAGAGGCCCCAAGAGGCTCTTCAGAGGCCCCAAAGGCTCTTCAGAGGCCCCAAGAGGCTCTTCAGAGGCCCTAAGGCTCTTTAGAGGTCCCAAGAGCCTCTTCAGAGGCCCCAAGAGGCTCTTCAGAGGCCCCGCTTCACCATTCTCGAAGATTCATTTTTGTCTGGAGAACCCTTGGCCGTACTAAAGCCCACCAGGCCGCACAAAAGCCCATCTGGCCGCAGTAGAACCTTCTCTCCCGACCCCTGGGGGGGCAAGAGGGAGGGGGGGGAGGGAGGGAGGGAGGGAAAGGAGGGCGGAGGCGAAGGATGGCAGAGATAATCTGCGGTCCTGCTACTCCGCTGCCCCCCTTCTGGCTCGCGCTCGGGAAGGCCTGAGTTCATCGGGGGCCCCCGGGGTGATGATCACACCGTGCGGTGAGTCGGTGGGGATTCGGGGTCACCGCACGGTTTTGGGACTCGGGTCGTTATCCGAGGACGTCTCGGGCGACAGGGGCCTCCAGGGTCTCAAGACCGTGCGGGACCGTGCGGTGAGGTCTTGGGGGATTTCGAGGTCACCGCACGTTCCGTCACCGCATCGTTTCGGGTCCCCAAAGATCAGCCGCCTCGAGCCTGGAGCCCCGCGCCTTGTTTCTTCCCCTCCTACTGCTGCCCTTCCTCCTCCCATTCCTCTGCTGGTGCCGATCCGATCCGACCCTTTCCCCCTCCTCTTCCTCCTCCTGCTCCTCCTCTCCTCCTCTTATTCCTCCTCCTCCTCCTCTTATTCCTCCTCCTCCTCCTCCTCCTCCTCCTCCTCCTCCTCCTCCTCCTCCTCCTCCTCCTCCTCCTCTTATTCCTCCTCCTCCTCTTCCTCCTCCTTCCAGCTCTGCAGTTTGCGGGCGCCCACGTCGTGCCGCCGGCTCGGAGGGAGGGGGGGACTGGGATGCAGGAGCGGCGGGGTCGGACGAAGACGGGGCGTCGAAGAAAGAGACAACTGCATTCATAAAACAAAGCGGGAGGTCCGCGCAGATTTTTGGGATCGGCGTTGGACCCCCCTCTGGCGGCGCCGCTGGCGCCGCCCCTGGCGCCGCCCCTGGCGCGCTCCGTGCGCCAGGGAGAGGGGCCCAGCGCAGATCCAAGAAACCAATCTGAGCGGAGCTCCGGAAGTTTATGTCAATGTAGTTGTTCTTCTTCTATGGAGAGGGGAGAGGGGGGGGGGCGAGCTGGGTGCGCTCGTGTCAAAAGCGGACCCGGAACCCTCACAACGACCCTATCGCGCTATGCGCAATCAGACAAAAAAGGGGGAGTTGCGTACAGTAGAGGAGGGGGTGGCGGACGAGTAGGAGGAAAGCGCAGAGGATGAAGACAGGGGGAGGGCGGGGAGAGGCAGTACCAGTAGGATCTGGAGCAGGAGGAGCGGCAGGAGCTGGATGGTCAGAGGAACGGAACGATAACGAGGAGGAAGGAGCCGAATCCAGAAAAGTGGCCCTTGCTGGGGCGAGAGCGCCGTTTTGGACGACGGGAGCCAAGCGCCGATCCTAGAATGATGCCCACGCTGCAGCGGGCGCATGGTTTAAGAAACCGAAAACGTTCTGATGGGAGCAACAACCATTTGAACCACCAAACGATGACATCCTGTGTTTGGGAAAAAACAATGCACGGAGAGGGCGGGATACCGGAGGGCGCCATACCTGACATCTTAACCCTCCCATCCATCCCTCCCCGTCGCTTTGAATCCGTCTCTAGAGCACCTTGATGGACTCGATTCCCAGAGGAGTTTCATCCCCAAGTGGCACTTGAAGGATTTTCCGCACATCGTTCGCCGTGCAATCTACAGAAGGAGGCCAGGTCCTCTGGAGGAGGATGAGAAGGAGGAGGCGGGCGAGCAGCAGAAGGAGGAGGAGGAGGAGGAGGGGGACGGAAGGGAGGAGGAGGAGCAGGGGGAGCTGGAGGACGAGGGGAAGGCAGAGGAGGGGAGAGGAGAGGGACGGCGGCGACGAGGAAGGAGTCGGATCCAGAAGCGTGGTCCGTGCTGGGGCGAGGGCGCCATTCTGGGCGACGGGGACAGAGCGCCGTTCCCGAAGCGTGGCCGGCGCTGCAGCGAAGGAGCATCTCGTCGGATGAGCGGAGGTGCCATCATTGCACGGCACACCGGGCAGGCCAGAGGCCACCAAGAGAACCGCAT